TTTCATAAACAGCCTGCCCAGCAAACACACATACACAAACACATAGGAATTGGGGTTTCTTTTATGGAGATGATGTAGAATCTTTAGATTAATTGGGCAAATCTGGCATCATTACAGTGTTGAGCCTGTCCACCTCTGTATAGCCTCTAATGATCTCAAACCATTTGTAAACTTGCTCACTAGTGTTTTGTAGATCCCTGTGCAGAAGTTTTGCAGAGTTCTAGTGAAAACTTATATATTTGCAGTTTTTGTAATTTTTTTTTAAATTTTATTTTCTAATTATATGTTACTAGTCTATGCATGCAAACAAATGATCTCTATATATCAACTTTACTAAATTAGCTTATGAACTCTCTAATAACTATCTGGAGCTTTCATGATTACTCCTTTGTAATGGATGTTCTCAAATTGTAGATTTATTTAGGTATCGAATTTTAATTACTATTGCTTAATTTTTTTCTGTATTATTTTCCCATATATCAGTGGTGCTTGCACTCCATAATTACAAACGTTCATATGGAAGATTACATAGTATCTTAAAATGGGATAATAATCCATGCGCAAAAGATAAGACCTATGCAACCCTGAGGAGGTTTTGGAGGGAGGAGTCTTCCTAAGGCCGGTTCAGTCAGGGCTTTTCACACAGAATTCTCACTCACAGTCAGGGCTTTTCACACAGAATTCTCACTCACAGTCAGGGCTTTTCACACAGAATTCTCACTCACAGTCAGGACTTTTTCACACAGAATTCTCACTCACAGTCAGGACTTTTTCACACAGAATTCTCACTCACAGTCAGGACTTTTTCACACAGAATTCTCACTCACAGTCAGGACTTTTTCACACAGAATTCTCACTCACAGTCAGGACTTTTTCACACAGAATTCTCACTCACAGTCAGGACTTTTTCACACAGAATTCTCACTCACAGTCAGGACTTTTTCACACAGAATTCTCACTCACAGTCAGGACTTTTTCACACAGAATTCTCACTCACAGTCAGGACTTTTTCACACAGAATTCTCACTCACAGTCAGGACTTTTTCACACAGAATTCTCACTCACAGTCAGGACTTTTTCACACAGAATTCTCACTCACAGTCAGGGCTTTAGGCATATCGACTTCACCAACCTTGTGTAAAGATGTCTAATAAGATCACTGCTGAAGACAGACCACACTTTGGACACAGGCTTTGGAGCAATAGAACTGGAACTGACCTGCAACCACTTGCCCTGAAGGCGAGCTCTCAGCGCTTTGGAGAGTACAGAGTTTGCCTATGAATTTCCCAGGCCTAAGTGACACATCTACAATGCAACTTCTACACCTGAGTCTCATGGAACATAGCTTAAACTTCACCCACCCAGGGCTCAGGGACCATTGTGGAAGAGGGAGTGGAAAGATTGTAAGAGCCAGGGAGGAGGTGCAGGACCATATGGAAATAGGGTCCTACAAGCTCCTGGGACCCTGCTCATATGATTCTACGGCAATGGTGTCAGTGTACACAAGTCCCATGCAAATTCAGACAGACAAAAACCCAGCATAGAACTGGGAAAATGGATAGCAGATCCCAATCTTAGCTAAAGAAATATTGGCAACTGATTACTGCTGGATGAGGAAGAGCAGATCTTCCTAAAACAAGAGACTCTAGAAAGGCTGACTAGACCTCAGTGGATGGACTTGCACAGGGGATGTCCGTGGTCACTGACTTGACATATTGGGCCTTGACATAAATGACAGAGTATTTGGGTTCCAGTCTGAGGGGTTATGGGAGGGTTCCAATGGGGACAGGTTTATAAAGATAATTAAGATTGTTTGAGATATTCTGTATAAATACATAAAAATTCAATAAAAACAAAATCAATCATGTGTATATATTTATAAATTTTAAGTAAGCCAGGCATGGTGGTGCATGCCTTTAATCCCAGCACTAGGAAGGCAGAGGCAGGCAGAGCTCTGTGAGTTGGAAGCCAGCTTGGTCTGCATAGTGAATCCAAGGCCAGCTGGAGTTACAGGGAGACCCTGTCTCAAAAGAAACGACAAACAAACAAACAAACAAAAAAACAAACAGAAAAACCTAAGCTGAACATGTAAATTTGGGAACAATTAGCATATACATGAGACAAAATGAAAATAGCAAATAAATAAATAATGAAAGAAAATAGATGAGGTCTCTCTGGTATTCAGAGACAGAGTAGAGAGGGTTAGCAGAAGTACAGAAATGGAGAGAAACCAAAGTGAGAGTTCATTAATTATAGCACAGGGAAATGTCCACAAGTAGCC